AAGAGGACAACAAATGAGGGGCTGTGACAAACTGTTTCGTCGGAGTTTCACCGACTCATCAGGAGGCTGAACCCTCAACAGTCAACAGAATCCCCTCACTGATTACACTGTAAATGATAATCTACCTTAACCAAAATCAACGTGGACTATCACTCACCCACACCAGATGGAAAACTCTACAGACTTTCGGTTCACACCCCATCACAAGCCAACAAAACATCCACGAAACAAAGAAAGGTCTATCACAGCCAAAAGATATACTCCACACACGCCGCTGGCACTCGAAGCACAGCATATATATATATATATATATATATATATATATATATATATATATATATATATATATATATATATAGCTACCAGCCGGGCCGCCCGGGTCCCGGGTGGCCAGCCCGTGCAAGGACCAGGGAAGGTCCAGCAAAAAACAAAAAAATCAAAAAAATTTGGAAAACAACTATGTTATGCAGAAAAATAAACAGAACAACTTTTGCCTCAGGGTCACATCGAAATTCTGCACCAACTTTCGAAAACAAAATAAAATTTAAAAATTATTTTTTTATTTTTAAAATTTTTATTGTTTTTGGCCCGGCCGGGCAAGTGACCCCGGGCCACTCTGGTAGCCTAGTATATATATATATATTGTCACAAGAATATCTAGCGGCCTAGCTCAGTTGGTAAGGCACGCAAGTGGCATTCAGGAGGTCTTGGGTTCAATCCCCATTGACCTCATGTACCTTCCTGGGCAAGCTTGGCGCCCGCCACCTAGAGATAAGCCTTTGGTCCCCCCGAGTGGCATTGCGTAGAAACTGCTGATGTTCATAGGGGGAGGGGACCGGAGGGGAGGCACAGTGGCTGGCCCATCGAAGAAGCTCGGTCCTGATGCTACCGTCTGACCCCTGGCCGGTATCACCCACCTGCTGTAGCAGGTATCACACCTGCTGGTGGGTGCAACTCCCGCATGTTCCCTCGTTGGAGGCTTGAGCACAGATGTGGCTGCTACGGGTTTCCCCGTAATACTATAATGACAATAAAAAAAGGCCCGAAAGGCCGTCCTGTCCAGATTTGACAGGTAATTGAATTGGTTGGGCTTAAAGAATTAGCCTTTTTTCCTAGGTTACCAGTTGTCCGATGGCCGGACGTCTCCCCCAACCGTCCGGTAGGGGGGTTGTCCGGGATCCCGGACAACCACTTTTTGACATTAAAAAAAAAAAATAAAAAAAAATTATGAAAGTGTTGCGCATGCCATAGAGATCCCCCATAAAAAAATTCAGAATTTTTTGAGCATTTGGTGATAGGGTGCTATTTGGGGTGGGAGGGCGGGTACGCCTCGGTTTTCGTGGGGATAGGAGGGGTATAGGTGGGGATTAGAAACTTTGAAGATTTTTATCTTTTTTTCTACTGGCTCAAATGAGCCAAAATTTTGGTGGCATACACCTTATGCAAGGTAGAAGCCACATGATTTTTTTGTTTTTTTTCG